TGGAGTTTCTAGAGTAACCTACAAAATACAAAGAGCTAGACATTTCCTAGTAGCTGGTGATTTTATTGGTATGAGAATGTCAAGAGTCTCCAGGGGAGAGAGCAGTGTGATATCTGTCTTTGGACCCAGGTTTATAGAGATCACAGGAGCCTCTTCATCCCAGGAGGAGTCCTGTTCTCTATTAACAAGGAAGGCTTTTGAAGCTAACACTTATGAAAGATAAGGCAAACAGCACTTCCAGTCTTCTGTCAGCTCAGGCCTTCTATAGCCAAGACCTGCATCAGGCTTCAGGGTATCCTAACTGCCTACCTTTTACATACCCACAGGGATATAAGGCAGAGGCCCAGGGATGTGTGGGCTTCTGTTCTTTAGCCTCAACTTTCTGGAGTGAGTATAAGAATCTGTTTCTTATCTGTTGAAAGGAAGCATTTAAAGTGTGATGTAGTAATTATACAAAAAACAGAAGCAATTATTAGCACATTTGCATTTTCCATACTGAATTATGCATAGTATGGTGACAAGAAAGGACCTCATTTGTCCCTTGGTGGCCACAGTCTGTGGCACATAACCTAGTGAGAGACCTCTAAGTGAACTGGGAAATGAGCAAGGAGTTGCACTTGTGTGACTGCTTCGGGTTGCACCTGTCCCATACCTCTCTACTAAAGATTGGACACGGGCATTTTTCTTCAGTGAAAATTTTATGCATTCTAAAATATTTTATGCTAATTGAATGCAACCAAATATTTTAATACAGTTTCTTTTCTTTCTTCTTGCTTGTTTTCCCTCTTTTATTGGGAATAGAATATAGGGCCAATTTATCACTGAACTACAGCCTCAGCACTTTTAAAAAGTTTTACTTTGACACAGAATTTTGCTATGCTGCCCATGCTAGTTTTGGATTTGCGATCTTTGTGCAGGTGTATGCCACTGTGCCTGTCCATATTCTTTTTATGTACTACTAGTACATGTACAGAAACTATGATTTTCAATGGTAACAAAAGTTGTTTACTCTTAGCAATTGTGTAATTGCTTTAACTTGCATGTGTCACCTAATGTGCTTGTAAAATACAGAAGCTGGGCCCTCCCAGCTAGAGACTTTGATTTAGTAGGTATCTTAGTCACTTTTTCATCACTGGGATAAAAATCTGGTGCCCACAATTTAAAGAAGGACAAGTTTACTTTGATTCATTTTTTCAGTGTATGGTTAAACAGCTTGAAGGTGTAAATGGCACAGCAGAGGGATGTGGTGGAGAAACAGGTGCTCAACCAGGAAGCATAAAGGAAGCCAGCAAACAGAGAGAGGAGGAGCCAGAAACAGGAATATGGTAGATTCTTCCAGGTCAAGCCTCCAGTGACCCAGCTCCAGCCGATCCTACCTCCTAATGTCAAGTACCTCTGTGATCCAATCATCTTTCCAACATTTTGGTGATATTTTTGATTTAAAGCACCCTAGGAGGTTTGAAGTGGAGCCCAGGAATTTGCATCCAAAAGAGAAAGGATTCAGGTTTTTCTGATACAGGAGGGTCTTGGATTAGATTTCAAGAAACACTACCAGATTCCCTGCTTGATGAACTTGTAATAATGGGATAATCTACTTCTGTCTGTCAGTATTTTGGGAGGATAACTCAAACATAGATATTTGTGGGAACATCAGGTTTGATCACAGATATCTAAACTTAACAGTGTGGTTGTGGGAGGAACTGAAGAAGTGAAAGTCTGGAAAGGACAGCTTGAAAAGTAGTCACTAAGTGGGATGACCCAAGTTCTGGTACATGATCCCTGCAACCTGTGCATGTCTGGCTGTTGGAGTGGAACTATAAGGGCAGCTGACAGGGAAATCTGAGGAATCTACCAATGTTGGAGTTTGCCTCCAGGCTGTTCTTGTTTGGTGGGGTTGGTATCATGAAAAAAGAGCAAAAAGCCACCTTTGTATGTCACCATGTCTATCCACTGTGACTTTCTGAAAATAATGGCTTTTTAATTTCCCTTTTTGGTACCTCTAGCCCAGACATGTGGGGAGGCTTTCTGAAAATTTCTAGCTTTTGTCAACAGAAAGAGCACTCCCTGAAACATCTTCCTACACTAAAAATTACACATTCAACACCCCATCCACCATGTGGGTTTGGGTCTCTGAGTGCTGGGCATTCATTCAATCCTCTTCCCTTTCTGTGTACTTCAAGAGCACTTTGGAGAGAATTCCCATGTCTTTATTAGTGAGAAGGTTACAGCTCTTTGCAAGCCTGGACATTCTGTCACATTGGAAAAATGTGCATGTTAAGTTTCCTTGTTGAACCAGTGTGCTGGCAGTAAATAATTGAAAGGCAATAGATGTAGATGTGACGGGTAGAATATATTTAGAGTCCTGTCGTTAGTAAAATTGGCATTTCCATGTGCAGCCAATGGCAAATGGAGAAACATGGTATTGTGTGCTGTGAAGAGGGGCATCCCATTAATTAACCCTCCTAATTAACCCTTTGGGCTGAAGCTCAGGAGAGTGTTCTGTTTGCCTGGTAAATGTGGAGCAGCCTTGTGGTGGGCTGAATAAGGGACCCTGAAATATTATGTCCAAATATGATCAATCCATAAGTATTTGCAAATGGAATATGCTTTACATTTAAAAAATATATTTGTAAAATGTGCCACAAATCGAAAAAGAGATTTTGTAGATGTTATATAGTATAGAACTTGAAATGGTGAGATTATCCTAGATGACTGGCTGCTCCCTAAATGCTAACTCTAGTATGCTCATAAGAGAGAATAAAAGGAAAATTAGACACCAGGACAGAAGGGAGAAGCAAAGTGACTAAAAAGGCAGAGACTGAAGCAACATAGCCCCAAGTCAAGGAATACCAGCAGCCATCCTATGGGGGAGGGAACCAGGTTCTCCTGTGGAGCCTCCTGAGGGAGAGAAGATCGTTCTACAGAAACTTGGCTTTCAGCCCTGGGATACTGAGTTTGGACTTCTTGACTCTAAAAGTGAAAGAGAAAAACTTTCTGTTGCTGTAAGCCATCAAATTTGTGGTAATTTGTTACAGTGGTCACAGGAAAGGAGTGGGATGCTCCTTATTCATCAGTGGCACCCCTCTTGCCAACATTTTAAGGTGGAACTCCTTGCTTGCTGCAAAGGTGGGGCTGGTGTTGGTAATGGAGAGTAATTCCTCAGGCCATCATGGGAGACAGCTGACTTTTTGGAATTGTATGGTCAAAGATAGACCTTGGAATTTATTTCTACAAACAGGCATCATTGGCAGGGTTCCCATGTACTGAAGAAAATATTTTTGTTCCACATTTAGCACACTCAACTAAAGACCTGTAATCTTAGGTTTATCAAACTGTGCTTCTAGGAACCATACGTGTAAGGCTTATGACAGAGTGAGGGGGTATTCCATGCATTTTGAGGGCATTAGTCCCATAGCTCTTGGAACAGACATTGTATTAGTCAGCTAGGCCATAATGAAATGCCATGCACCTGCTGGTTTAGATAGTAGGAATTTATTTTCTTACAATTCTGGAGGCTTGACATTTGAGATTAAGGTATCAACACCATTTTTTGGTTTCTCCTTAGCTTGTATATGAATATATCCCCTCATTTTCATATGATGTTCTGTGTTCTAATAACCTTCTCATATAAGGGTATCAGTCACTTGCATCAGAACCTACTGTAGAATTCTATTTTAACTCAGTTGCCTTTTGAAAGACCCCTTCTTTCAAAATAGTAATATTCTGAGGTATCAGGCATTAACCCTTTAACATAAAAAGTTTGTGGCATCAAAATAGAGTTCACAATAAACTTTAACTTCTGTACTAAGGTTATTCTTATAAAAGGCATAGTATATCATTGGACATATACAAACACAATACATATAATGAGGATTCATATGTAGCATAATTATTTCTATTTTCTCATAGAGCTGTACATCCTCCATGTATATAGTGTGTGTATCATAAAGATATAAATATATGTATATGCACTTATATGACACTTTAGAATAATTTTATCTGGGTGGAGAGGCTGTGATGCAAAAGCACCTTCTGGGATGGAAGATTCTAGAAACAATCAAAGCAAAATTATTACACCCTAACATGTCAGGGGATACCAAAGTCCTGCAATTACACTTGAATGGTTTCAACTTATCTTATCTGAGAAACATAAGGTCACATGGCTTTAATTTAATGAAATAAATGTGGAACAAATAGCAAGCTCTTGCTATTTCAGCCATTCCACTCAGGAGCCAACAGCTGTGGAAGAATGTAGGAAGCCATCTTGAAAACTTCAACCTCCATTGATGCAATGTAGAGAAGGGCCTAGCAATTCAACCAGCATCCAAGGGCCCCAGACATTTTCTGTCAATCAAGTCATTCTGGTCATCTTTAAGTGTTTAAGCCATCCTATTACTATTTCAGCTCTGGTGGGATGTCCTGTCCTGCAAAATTGTGAGCTCCACAAGATAGTGGTGGTTTATGGTACTAAATCTGGAGGCCTTTGTTACCTAGAAATAGCTTACTGAAAGAGATTCTCATTCAGACATGGAAGACAATTAAGCAATTGTATCTATCACTTACCCACCAGTAAAGCGCAGGATGCATGTAGACACAGAATTCTTCAACAGCTCCTGTTTGCAAAGCCATTGTCTTCTTTCACTTGTGATGACTGAAATGAGATATCTCACCAGGCCTCAGGTTTTACCATGCTTGCTCTGTTGATGAACACTGTGAAAAGTGCTGATTTTGATCATTATATAAAACTGCTACCTGCGAGGAGCACGCTGGTCTCCTGGGGGCTGGCACAGAGTTTTCTACTGTGCCACCCTCCAGTTTCTAGATAGGTCATTACCCCTGGCTGCTGATTCAGCTTTTCCTCAGTCCACTGTCTCATGCCACAGAGTGCTGCCTGATTTTGCAACCTCATCTGCTTTCCTAGAGCTACTGGCCTTGACTCTTTTTGCTATTTTTTTCACTATCCAAAGTCACTTTTCTGCATTATGACATTGAAAGATACCTCACAAATTTTTCCTCCAAAACTCCTTCATGATATGTTGCTGAAAAGTAGCATCATAGAGATTCAGGATGTGGGTCCCAGAGTTAGACTCCCTGAATTTGAAGGCCCTTTTGGCTCTTAATTCATGACTGTGCGGCCTCTCGGCTTTCGTTTCCTAAGAACAAAATGAGGAAAATGATCATGACTGCCTCATAGGCTCTGTGTGAGGATAGAAACGATCATTATGTCAAATGCATAGGACAGTGCCTCTCATGTAGCAAGTACCTAATAAATGTTGTAGCTTCTATTATTCATCTTACAGTATGGTAATAACCTTCTTATTTATAGGTCTGCTCACTAGATCCTAAATTCCTTGAGGACAGATAGTATCTTAAGCACTATTACTTCCCTAATGTCCTGCATAATGTGTGATATATTAGGCACTGAGCTGCATTTTTGAGTAAGTGAATGCTACAAAAGTCATTCAAGACTGCATTCTGTCAGTGGAAGGTAAATAATATATTCCTATGAGAATGGCCATGTGTCAGTCAGCTTGCTATCACTAAAAAAATACCTGGATAATTAACTGATGAAGAGGAAAGGTTTAGTTTAACTCACAGGTTTTGAGGTTTCAGCCTATGATCCATTGATCCTATTATTTTGAGCCTGTGGCCAGGAAGTACATTGTGGACTGAGTATATGGTGGAGCAGAACTGTTACTTTATGGTTAGGACACAAAAGAGAGGGTAAAGAAGAGCCTGTAGTTCCACAGCTCCCTCCATGCCATGCCCCCAATAACCTCCCATTAGTTCTATCATCTAAAAGTTCCAACACCTTCTAGTAGTGCCACTAAGAGGGATTCTGCTAATCCTTTAATACCAGAGGCTTGGGAGACATCAACAGTTGAACTTGAGAAAGTAGCAAAAGTTAGGCAACAGCTTGGTTTTGTAACATGTATTCTATATTAGTCTAAGAATCAAAAGGACAGAAAATAGATTGGGAGAAATGAGTGTGAAATGATGTTATTGGTTGTTTGTGTGTGTGTGTGTGTGTTTGCTGGTGTGGTACAGGGTGTTAAAACTTGCATCTTTACTCTGAACTATATCCCTAACCCTTTTTATTCTTATTTTATTTTCAGACCAGGTCTTGCTAAGTTGCCCACCCTGGTCTAAAACTTACAATCCTCCTCCTTTATCCTCTGAAAGTACAGGCAATACAGGTGTGTGCTGGAATGCCCAATTATCAGTAGTATTTTTATGTATGAGTCTCATCCATGGTTTGTAGTGAGATAAAACAGCTGTATGCTTACTAACATAAAACTGTAAGAAGTAGTTTCCTGAAGAAGTTGGAGTGCAGGTGCAAGCAGAAACGCCAAAACAGTGCCCAGGATTTGGAGGCAGATTTATTTACATCAACAGGCACTGATCATTTCCAGAACATCAGACCTGAACCTCTGGTGTCCTAGTACCTATTGGAGAGAAGCAAGCAGGAAGTACAGGGCAGAATGTCTTGTCACTTGGAGACTGGTTTATCCAATATGATAGGAACCACCACTATCTTGTGGAGCTCACAATTTTGCAGGACAGGACATCCCACCAGAGCTGAAATAGTAATAGGATGGCTTAAACACTTAAAGATGGCCAGAATGACTTGATTAACAGAAAATGTCTGGGGCCTTGGATGCTGGTTGAATTGCTAGGTCCTTCTCTACATTGCATCAATGGAGGTTGAAGTTTTCAAGATGGCTTCCTACAGTGACCAGCTGTTTCTAAGAGCCAGAAGCAACCAGAACTGCAACAGGAACTGTGCTACTAATAAACAGAAGTATACTGACTGGGAGAGGGGGCAGCATTTTCTGCTACACAGGGTTCTTGCACCCAAAACACCCTAATTATTCAGGAAGAGGCTGTATAAATCAAAGAAGAAATCTATTTATACAAGATTTACCTTATTTAAGAAGGCATTTACTTTTGCATGGAGAGAAGCATTTAATTATTCACTACAATAAAACAAAACGAAGTGAAATAATTGAGTCCCAAGAAAAAATATGTTAGTTAAACCTAGGTATTTGTTATTAAAATGCTTCCTGTAAAAAAAAATGCTTCCTGTGTAATCACATGAATTTTCAGAAGTAGGGCACAAATCTGCGATTGAACTTTATACTGCTTTTATGTGAGAACTGTAAAGCAATTAGCAACATGGATCCTACTTTGGAATAATGACATTGAACAGCTAGTATTTATCACATGGGGACTCAATACTGGCTGTGGCAGATCTATGTCCTTGATATGTATGAATTATTAATCTTCTCATTGATCTTAATCTTCTCATTGATCCAGGGAATTCATAGTTTTGAGACTATACACACCAGGCGCCATGGTTGATATCAAGATGTCTCCCAAGAGCCTCATATGCTTGTGGGCTTTTGGATGGTAAATGAGTTACGGGGCCAGCACAGCTGAACTGCTGTTAGGAGGTGAGGTCTGCTTGGGACAGTCTGGTCACCAGTGTGTGTCCCATCTCCTTCCAGGATCTTCTCCTCTCTTCTGGTTTCCTTACCACCAAGATGTGAGCAGTTTTCCTTCCTGGAAAATCCTTCCCCCATGCTGCTCACCTCGGAGCCAGCTGAGTGTGGACTGAAACCTCTAAAACATGTGAGAAAAATACACCTTTGTTCCTTTAATTCATTGATGGTTGGTTGTAAGTCCTGGCAATTTGAAAGCAATTCAGATATCAAGTTTTGGAGCCAAGCACCTTTGCTCTTTGTATGCTTTGAAAACACTGGAGTCAATGAAAACAGTCACATGCACAGCTCATATGAAGAGTATAGATAAGAAATTTTCTTGTGGCTTGTGATTTTTCCCAGTACTACCACCTGAGAAGAATAGATGACCCTTTACCTGGAAAAGGAACTAGTTGAATGTCCATTTAAGACAGTTTTCAAAGTGGACCCAAGATCAGGAGCATCAGCCTTACCTGGACATTTTTTAGGACTGGGAATTCTTGGACGTCTTCCTGGGACAGGTGCACCACAAGCTTTGGTGTTAGAACCCAGCAGTCCACCTCTTCATGAGTCTTCTAGATGAGTCTGAGAACTGTTCTAAAGGCAAAGGAGCTCCTGGTACAGGAGACACTTGGCCTTCTGTGACTTTGGTAGGACTTTCTGAAGACAGAATGGCTCAGGAAATTATAGTGCCAGCCTTAGAGACTGGAGGCCCTAGGCCATCGGAAACCAGGGTGGTGCAGATGCTAGGAAAACCAATGACTATCTTCTGGCCAAGTGTGTTGGTCAGTTTTCTGTCATGATGAAAAATAATTGAGACAAATCAGCTTAAAAGAGGAAAGGTTTGTTTTGGCTCAGAGGTTTGAAGGTTTCAACCCATCGATGATTGGTCCCATAACACTTGGTCATATGGCAAGGTAGTACCTATATCATGCCTAAAAGGCATGACAACCAGGAAGTGGAGAACAAAGGGGCTGGGGTCTTGGTACCCCTCTGGGAGTGATGCTTCCAAGAACAACCTTTCCCCAATTAGGCAATATCTCCTAAAACTTTGTTCCACTATCTTCCAGTAGCACCATGAGCTGTGGCCCACACCTTCAACACAGGCCTTTGGAGGGAATTTTGTCATCTAAACCTTAGTACCAACCCATCTTGTCACAGGACAAACTATGATAATAACTACAATATCTCTTCACACAAGCTCATTTTTGGCACAAGTTAGTTTTTGACATGAGTTAGGCTTGGACAAAGTACTTCCATTTAAATTTTCCCTGAGATTCTCACAACGCTGCTACAATAGAGATTTTTACAGGAGAAGCAACAGAGGCTCCGAGCATTTGATTTGCCCTGGGAAGTACAACTGATACACCTCAGGGCTGCGTCACCCTGAGCCCTATTTCTTCTATCCCTGCTTATTTCTCCACACTTTCTTTTTCTCTCTACCTCATTGCTGACCTGCTATCTTTTACCTAGATTATTACAGAGTGGCTTCTTCACTGTTCTTTTATGTTTAGTCTTTGCCCCTCTCCAGTAATTTCACACATTGTTCATTTAGAATATTCTGAGCACCTAATATGTGCTAGGAATAAATAATGTGTTTATTTATAGCCACACAGCTATATTCATATTTTATGAATTTAACACAACTCATGCAGGATTCAGGTCCGTCATTGTTAGGGCTTTCTACCATGCTTAGAACAAAATGCATACAGCTTGCCATGACTGAGAAGGTTTTGTCCAGTCTGATCCTGTTGCTCATCAATCCAATCTTCCTCTCTGTCTCCCAGCCATGCTCCAGGTACACTGGTTGACTTTAATTTCTAAAAGCATGCCCAACTCAGGATCTTTGGACATCCCACTCTACTGCTCAGAATACTGTTCTGCGAGGTCCTTGTACATCAAAATCCTTCTCATCCTCTGTGTCTCAGTCTAAATGATAGCTGTACAGGAAGACTTTTACTATCCACCATAAAGCATCCAAGGTAGATGTTCCACTGGGATACTGGCATCAGGTGGAATGGCTGAATAACAAGAGCTTTCTAGGTCTTTCTCTCCCCTCACCTTCTGCACTCAGCTAGTGTGTGTTGCCTTGAAGTAGGGGGGTTTAAACTATGATGCTCTTTTCTTTTTCTTTTGTACAAACTTTTATTCCCAGTGAACTAAGAGAAAGTAGCTGTATATCTATCCTAACTCTCATATATATATATATTTTTTCCTTCACCCGCTTTTTTTCACAACAAAGCTGTCCTTTATTTACACTTTTGTGATGTTAGTAATGCGTGACCTTAGGTTGCCTAGCAACTGATAACTAACCTTAATCAGACAGGATGTTCATCTCAGGAGTGAGGTAGGTTGTTTGCTTTAGGCACTAGGCCAAGTCCCACCTGCATATATTTGATCAATTTCCTAACTTCTTGGCTCCCAACATATCCCTCTTTTTTGTTTTGTTTTGCCAGAGATTAGTGTTCCACTGCAGTTAGAGAAGCTGTATTTGGAGGAGTCTTTGAGGACCTTTTCATACTTGAAACCAGTGTAAAGATTGTAGGTACTTGAATTCAGCAAAATAACCCAATATGGTCCAATAGTCCATAATAATAGTGGGTTATCAGCAGAACTGGCAATTGTTAGAAGTTGTTGACTTGAGCCTTTTACAGCTCGGCATATTAATATGGTTTTACTTTTTATACTTCATGGTTATACCTTTCTGCTGGATGGGTAAGACCAAGTTAAAGCAAGACCCATATAACTAAAAATGTAACTTTTGCTATCTGACAAGGTCAGTCAAATGCCCTCAGGATTTATTCTGTAACCTTGTATAGCACCTTGTAGATCTTTTGTTAGTATCAGCCATGTGGATGAGTCATGGTCATTGCTTGGCCAATTTTCTTTCTGTGGAAGTCTGAGAGAAATTTTTTTCTCTATGTGACTCTCCTTAGGTACACTCTACATCCTTGATCACTTTCCTCTGTGGCCCCAACTATGACGATCTTCACAGCTGCACCTAAGCAGTTTTGTGTAGAGAAAATGTTCTAGGAGAGGCTACTGCTGCTTCTATAGAGCCTAGTAAAGTATCATTTCTGTTGTATTCTACAGAAAGAGCCCAGATTTAAGAAACGAAATCTGGTGGGGGATAGACTACTCTTCTCAATGGACTGTTGAATTTGTAGACAAGTGAGTTCCTCTCAGAACCCTTCCTATAGCCTCTCATGGCACAGTATTTAACCTCACTGTGACATTCACTGAATCAAAACTGCTTGGACTTAGTTGATATTGGGATCCCAGAGGCTAGTACGGTACCCTTCCTAAATAATTGTTCTATGAAGAAATTAAAACCAGGAAGATTTTGCTTATACTTTAGATATCCCCGAGGCTTCTGGGATCAAGAAATAAGCCATGAAGTGAGAAGTTTTTCTGACTCACTTTTGCCTCCTCTGTAGCTGACAGAACCTGGCACATGTATTAGGGCCTCAGCACCTACTTGGTGAATGAATGGCTGGGTTGTTGAATGCATGTCAAGCCTGGTTCCAGTGCCCTCTCGGTGTGGCCACAGTTGATTGTATGTGAACCTCAAGTCACTTTCCCTGTACCAGCTCAGGCCTATCTTTCTTTTCTTCCTGTTCCTTTTATCTCTGGCCACAGAGAACTTGATAAACCCACCCCTACCCCTCCGTCCACTTTACAGCACATCTCGCACATGTATTCTCAGATGCTCAAGCCAGGATAGGAATGCAACACTGTGTGCCATAAAATTCACTCAGCTGAAGAAAAAAATGCTGTCAGAGTTAAGAGGTCTCTTAGCTGCAATACTTAGATGCCTTTCCTTGCAGGGACGCATGGAGAACAGTAAATTGGAGAAGAAATTGGCGATGTGGTAAAATCCATAAATACGTGAAGCCTTGTCCCGAGAGAAGGTGAGGGGGGGCTCTGAACATTGCTAAGGCTTACTGAGAACTCAGTCAGCTCCTGTAATGGCAGTTTGCTTTTCGGCACCATTAAATGATTTGATCCTGAGGATTGTTACTCTGCTCGGCTTACTTTTGAGTGCTTTGGATTCACGGGTGGCTTCCAAGGGACCAGGACAATTGCTTGTAAGAGAAGGGATTCCTGTGAATCTCTGCCTTTGATTTTAACTTCCCTCCTGAGCTTTAGACTCTTATAGCAGACGCTGTATCACAGATCTCACCTGGACATCCCATTGCTATTTCAAACCGCACTTGCCCAAAATAGAATCTATTCTTTGTTCTTGGAAATGAGTTCTGTCTTCTGCAGCTTCCAGCAGGATGCAGTGCAGCCCCTTCCAGGTTGCTTCTTGAGCAGAATGGTGGCTGTCACTCCGCAAGCTTCCTGACTATTGCTGCTAATAAGTCATGTTTATAATAGCGTCTGTGTGCCAGGTGCTTCCTATAAACTTGCCTGTAGTTATCACAACAGCCTATGATGAAGACAATGCTTTACCTTCCATTCTACGGAGGATGAAACTGAGGAGATGGAAAACATGGTAGCAGGATTCTCTGTCTACCACGTGGCAACCAGACTTACCATTTAAGCTCGCAGATCTGCATGTGCTTAGGAAGCTCGACTGGCTCACACGATCATCCAGATTTCTAACCAAGAGCACAGTACTCTGTGATGAGGCCACTGAGAGAGGTTTCAATTTCATGTTTGGCTGTTCTTATCCTGTGCCTTTAACCCTTCATACTCTTGACACGTCGGATACTTGGAACCTTATGGGATATGCCCATTTCATTAGCCCCATGTAAGTCTTATTCATTATAAAAAGTATTTTGGGGCCAGGGAGAGGGCTCAGTAGAATAAGCACTTGTCTGGCAAGCACAAGGGCCTGAGTTCAGTCCCCAGATCCAGAAAAAAATATTTTGGGGGTGCCAGCTTGTGTCATACACTGTTTTGGTCACTGCTGTCATAGCTGTGAACAAAACAGAACAGGCCCTCATGGCACATAGCTTCTCAGCTGGTCCCTCTTCCTAAAAGAGGTATCAAATGACTCTGTATGCAGTGTAACATCATAAAGCCGAGAGGTGCATGGAGAAGTAAACAAGGCCAGAGGGCAGAAAGTAGCAAGAGAGTTCTTTGTGCATCAGGGATCCAGAGCGCTTTGCAAGCCCTGAGGTGAGAACTTGCCTGGAAAGTTTGAAGGACACTGAAGAAGTCAGGGCGGTGGACGTAACAAACTGGGGGAAAATGGAACCAGGGAGGGCCTCTAATATACCAAGGCAGCCATGATGAAGGGTATTGAGGGCTTGGATGACTGGATTTTATTCCACCTGCCTTAGGAAGTTATAGGAGCTTGAGATCAGGGTATGATAGAACCCCATGAATATCTCAAACACATCATGTGGATAGCTATGTGGCCATCAAGCAGCTGTGTGGCTCCTCAGAGGGGCTGGATTGGAAACAGTGTCCAGGAAGAACCCTCCTAGCAAGCTCTTGTGCCTACTTTAAGAGTTCCCCTTCCCCATTCATCTCTCCACTTTTACTTAGTGACCACGATCCAGGAGAATCCACTGTAGAAGGGTGACTACTGTGCATGGAAGGTGCTGTGAGACTGAAAAAAGGGGTAGACAGATCCAGGATTATGCTCAGGGCAACTCACTATGATTGTCTTAGTCAGCTTTCCAGTACTATAACAAAACACCTGAGGTAATCAGCTTATAAGGAGGTAAAGCCTGTTGTGTCTAACAGTTTCAGAAGTGTCAGTCTGTGTTTGGTTGACTATTTCTTTTGAGGCCAGGCTGAGGCCAAACTTCATGATGTCAGCATGTGGAGGAGGAAACTGCTTTCTGCATGAGAGTGGGAAGGCAGAGAGAGAGAGAGAGAGAGAGAGAGAGAGAGAGAGAGGAGTCCAATATCTCTTTCAGTGGCATGCATGCAATGTTTTAAATTCTTCTCATTATGCTGCACCTCCTAAAAGTTTTTTTTTTACTACCTTCCAATAGTACTGAAAGAGGGGGTGAGGGCTTCATTACAGGGGCTGTTTGGGGACATTTGAGATGCAAAATGATAGCAGAGACTTAAGGACAGAGCCAAGATTCAAGGTGGAAGCAAGCCCAGCGGATGTGCACAGCTCCTGTCTGAGGCAGTGTGAGGTGGTGTGGTCAGGACACTCCTAATAGTGATCAGGGAGAATAGCGACTTTCATCCAAGCCAGAATGTACCTGGCTTACCTCAAGCTAACATCAAGGTGATCAGCCATGTGCTTGGCACTGACACAGTCATACAATTCAACACACCGCTCTAATAGTTTTGTTTATTTCTAGCATTCTGGGCTACTATGTGGGAAAAATCAACCAGGGTTACCTGGGGACAATTATGGTAGTTATGACTCAAGATAGCTGCAGTCAGGTTATGTTGGGTCCCTCCAGGTCACTGCCCGGCATTCTACATCCCAAGTTGTCTTTGTTCAAGACAGTACGATTTTTATCTCCATCCTCTGAATCAGAATTGTCTGGTTCCTAATAATGCTTAATCTCATCTCTTTTCCTTTGCATTTCCTTACATGGAGGCATGACTTTTCTATCAGCCATGAGCATCTAAAGGCGGGAGCTACTTCATTCTTGTTGTGTTTTTATTTCTCTGGCATTGGTATTGGCATCTGACACTTGGTAGTGCTTAATGAGATCTTTTTTTTTTTTTTTTTTGGTACCAGAGATTGAACTCAGGACCTTGTGCTTGCCGGGCAGGTGCTTATGCCATTGAACTATCTCCCTGGCCTGCTTAATAAGGATTTAATGAACACAAGGACAAATGAATGAATGAATGAATTCGGCTAATATTACACATACTTATTTGATTGATGAAGGGAGTATTTAAATAATTCCATTTAGTCAAAATGGGCTTTGTATATACAAGCCAACCTCAGAACATAAGTTGTAGCAGTGAAGACATAGGACTGAAGAAACTGTTGTGAGAACTTGACGTAGGGAGTTATGAAGCCTTGCCACTGCGTTGTCACCTGTCAGAAGGAAGTCAAGGCTGTCAGCTTGCTGATTCGACTTTGTTCACGATTCCCATCCTGCTTTCCAGTGCCTCGGGAAACCAGCGCGCTTAGTGCAGCCAGCATTCGTCAGAGAGAATCGAGACACCATACCATGTTATCATTTTGCTTCCGGTTGTCAGGAATTTTTGCAGTACCTCCTTCAGCTTGGTGGAGGTGGATGATGACTTATGACTTCTCAGATTCCTACCTTGCTGAGTGGCCTTCAGCTGGTGTTCTATATCGCCACGCTTCCCTTAAAGTGAACCCAATGTAAACAAAAAAATTTGTTTTAAAGCAAATCCCTGAGCGGTGATTTACGTGATAAATATGTTAAATCATTATAGGATTCCTTTAACTAAGAAGCCTCTTGAATTCATTTAAAATGATGTGATTTGTTAAAGAAAAACACTTACACGCACCTTCTAGGGCCCAGCAGCAATTAGATTTAAGCAGTTCTGTCTTGGACAGTTTCCATCAGCTCTATTTTCAGCATATCTGCACTCAGCCATGCTCTGCTGGTGCTGGGGTGGGGCGCAAGGTAGTAGGAGAGACCAGATTCTGATCTCATGCGAGACCCGCTCAGCCAAAATGCATCTCCTAGTCCCATGTGGCTGTTGAGATTCTGAAATAATGTGAAGGCCACTGAAAAATGGAATTTCAATTTGATTTAATGATACTAATTTAAATTTAAAAACTGACACTCAACTCAATTGTTTGAAAATTTTTAACTGTTTGGAGTAACTCAGATGCATCGATCTGCTTCGCCAGCGAGGAATTTTATGAGCTTTAAGTACAAATCAATTATTTCTGATGAAAATGTAGTGTATTAATTAAGATGAACTACAAATATAAGAGCCACACCAGGTTTGAAAACTTGAATACAAAAGGCTGTAATAGATCCCATTAATGCTTTTCATATGGATCACCATCTGAAATACTAGCCTTTTAGACATGCTGGTTTAAATAGGCTAGCAAAATAATCCTGCTGATTTAGTTTTACATTATAAATGTGATAGTTAAATTTTTATACTATTCATGTCTGTATAATATTTCTACAAGAAAGTGCTGGCTGTCTGTGCTAGGGATGCCTTATACATCTCTATCATCCATACGCTGTGCTAGCTGAGTTGGTAGCTACCCACGATGTTGGCAGGTGAAGCATGGCTGGAGGAGGTTGGGGTGTGGTCTGGAAGCATCCGTCTCCTTCCTTCCCCCTTGATTCCTCTCTCTGCTTCCCACTGCCTTATCATGAGCTGATTGTCCTCGGCGATGCCCCTTTGCTATGCCACCCTGCCTTGGCACCAGGCTTCAACGGACTGAAAACTATGAACTGTGAGCCCAAGTAAGCCTTTCCTTGTTTAAATTTTCAAGTATTGTGTTATGGCAACAAGAAAGTAGCTATGACAGATTCCATTTAATTAGACTAGGGTTGGACAATCAGGGTTGAGAACCAGTGTTAACATATCGTGTTATTTGATTTGTCCATCTCTTTGGATATAAATATGGCACCAGGAGAACTCTACTACCCCTTCTAGATATTTCTTCAAGCTGGAGAAACCAAGTGTCTTTAGGATTTTGGAATCAAGACTTAAGACTTGAGAATTTGTTGGACGAGGAACTCCAAGGTGATGCATGAAGACAGATCATGCATAAGCAAAGCCCTGCTTGGGGACAAAGAGCCTGACAGAAGACCCTGGGGGCAGGGTAGGGTCCTGCTCAGAGAACCAGGAAGCCTGGGAAGAGCCACAGTGGGGACCTGGCTCTACAGTCCATGTGGGGTACCGTGGGACGTTCTGTTTTGTTACCACAGATCTCCTGTAAGTTAACTTAGCTTGAGTGGGTTTCTGTTTCTTACAGTGACTGATTTCCACACATGCACACAGAATTAGGAAACAGATTAAACATTTGTAACACTCAAATGGGGATCAAAATGTGCAAACTCTGAAATTAAAGATGTGAGTTTATATGTGCATGAAAAAATATGGAAGTAACATGAACAGTGGTCTGGGGTCACTGGGGGACCCTGAGATTATTTTAACATCTCAATAAGATCAAAACTGTTTGCAATCTATTTTTTTTTTTTAATGTCTTGTAAGGGGTCTATAGGATCTCACTACACAGATCAGACTCATAGTGATTTTCCTGTTTTCAGCCTCCCAAATGCTGGGATTGCGAGTACATGCCACTGTGCCCAGTCTCAATTGCAGTCTCAGCGCACCCTGGGGGTTGGGGCGGGGCCGGCAGGCACCCTGGGGATCGAACCCCGGTCCCTTCATCTTCCTAAGCAGGCGCTGTGGTCCACTGAGCTATCTGGCTAGCCTTGCTATTTGTAATCTATATTTTCTTTCTTGCCCTCATTCTCTCATGAGTGTATAGAGGAATTCTGCAGAGAATATTGGATGACCAGTGATCCAACATGAAAGTAGATACAAGATCTTAATGACCTATTATTCACCCCTATATTGGAGAACATTATTAAAATGTAGAGCAATGCTAGTCTCACAACTTTTTTTCTCTTTTTTAAAAAATTATGTATTTAGTACAGGGTCTCACTACGCAGCACAGACTCATAGTGATCCTCCTGTTTTCAGCCTCCTCAGCATTGAGGTTACATGTAGGCCTGTGTCACCAGACTCTGTTGCTGGCTCAGTGCACCACGGGGCAGGGCTGGAGCAGCATGCAGTACCAGGGATTGAACCCCAGTCCCTGCATTTGCCTAAGCAAGCGCTTAGTCTGCTGAGCTATCTCATCGGCCCTCTCACACCTTTTTGATTCTGCCGAGTATAGTTATTTTCTATGAAAATATTCATGTTAGATGTAAAGGATTTATTAAATACTTTAAAGTTTCTCTGTTTTCATTGCTAATATAGTAAACATTAATAGATAAACAAAATCTCTTTGGCATCCCCAGTAATTTTTAAGAATCTAAACAGTTCTGAGCAGAAAATAGTAAATAAATCAGCGAAGCCTTCATGGATGGAGACCTGGGTTTGAGGGGCTGTGAAGTTTTAGTTTTTTGCTCATCCTGCCTGTGTCTTCATAGAGGGACATGGTTCTCCACTCTGATATCAAAATCAAGCTGAGGGGCTGAGATAATTATGGGTGTTTGGGCTTCTGTCCCAGCTGTTTGTATCATAAGGTCTGAGAAGAGATTCAGGCAAGTATATTGTTGAAAAATGCCTGAAGATGGTCTAAGTACTTGCCTGGTAAGAGCAAGGATCCGAGTTTGATCTCTGGCACTGCATGCCATGCTGGCCACAGAATCTCAGGTGTGCCACGCTGCCTCGACACTGGGCTTGGTGGCTCACGCCTGTAATCCCAGCGCTGGGGAGGCTGAGACAGGAGGATCACTACGAATCTTAGCTGCATAGTGAGACTGTATACCAAAAAACAACAACAGTAAAAAACAACCAAAAGGGCCCGAGGAGTCTCTGCAGCACACAAGAAGGGCACAGATTGACACCATTTCATTACAAATTGGGCTGCAGGTGATGGAGAGCACCTGAAGCATGGATCCATTCCTGGCTTGGCTTTTCAAGGACACAGGCTCAAACCTAAGGCAATCAGAAATGGGATGCTGAAGACCCAAGGGAGTCTTTGGACTTTGGGTCTATTAATCTCTACACATTGACTCTTTAAAAAATGTTTTCAGAACTTAGGAGTGGCTTCTGAAGCAGAGGCTAGCTGTGATTGGGTAGGCTGGATGGAGTTGGTTGTTTGTGCAACAGGGTAGTACAAGGTTTTCTCTGTCTGTCTCTGTCTCTGTCTCTGTCTCTGTCTCTGTCTCTCTCTCTCTCTCTCTCTCTCTCTCTGTCTCTCTCTCTGTCTCTCTCTCTGTCTCTCTCTCTGTCTCTCTCTCTGTCTCTCTCT